TCTCAATTTTAGGCTGGGCTATTTTTGTTGTTGTTATCAACAAGTCCGCAGCAGGTATTTACTTTCTCTTTTCAACATGGGTGTAATGCTGAGACCAGCTCAGTCGTGGACACCCTAACCCAGGCGACGCCGAAGGAATGAAGAAACAAAGACACAGCGCAAAAGTGGGATCAGAGTGGGATGTCAGGGGGCTGACAGCATTTCCCAGCTGAAAGCCCAGAGAAGACTCTGACCCATGTATTTTTTCTTTGTGAACAAGTGATTATTTTTAATAAGCAGGTGCTCAGTGTTTTTTCATAGAATAAATGTAGACTACACAGGCAGAGAGTGCCTGTTCTACTACTAAAATAGAAATAAGCTGGAAAGCACTCTGCGAGTCAGCGATGGGGACCAGGTTGTATTTCCTGTGTTTTGGGAACTGGTTTAAGTAGTGTATACTCAGTACATATTGCTTACTATTCAGCAGTTTTCTGCCTGGGGATGGCTCAGTGTTCCTTGCCATCACCTCTCAGCAACCTCTCTGCAGCACACACGTCAAGACCTTCTCCCAACATCATAACTTGTCATCAACCTGGTGGTCAACTTCAGTTCTTTAGCAGTACCATCTCCCTGTGGGCCAAAGGCTTCCTGGGGAGAGGATGAGTTTGGTTGGACCTGTGCACCTTTAGCTGCTGTGCATTGGCCTGAGGGGACTCGCTGGACTTGTTCTGTCGTGTTGGAGCCACAGAGATGCCAGTGGTCTGGTCCACCTTCTTGTGAATGCCAGCTGCCCTTAGGTCCTCCAAGCTGCAGCCCTGCTTACTTTGGTGTGATTCCTCACTGTGAGGCATCTTGCTATGGGGTAGGATGGGCCCAGGCATGAGGCTCAGGACAGCTGGTTGAACCACTGGTCGTGTGTAGCTGCCAGCCCTGTGGGAGTGGGGTTTAAAGATCATGCCATTCCAACTGGGCCAACAGCTTGCCCATCATTTAAAGTGGGCTGATGGCATCCTCTGATTATTTAAAAACAGTTTAAAATTGCTTTTTGTATTAGCTATATGTTTGTTTTTCTTATTTATCAGATAAACACAGTCCTAAAGGAATAATAATTACAGTGGAGAAGAAACATATTTCTTTCTTTCTTTTTTTTTCTATTTTTCCAGGCTGATTGATCAAAGAGAGGAAACATTTTTTTTTTTTTTTTTTTTTTTTTGAGACGGAGTTTCACCCTTGTTACCCAGGCTGGAGTGCAATGGCGCGATCTCGGCTCACCGCAACCTCCGCCTCCTGGGGTCAGGCAATTCTCCTGCCTCAGCCTCCTGAGTAGCTGGGATTACAGGCACGCACCACCATGCCCAGCTAATTTTTTGTATTTTTGGTAGAGACGGGGTTTCACCATGTTGACCAGGATGGTCTCGATCTCTCGACCTCGTGATCCACCCGCCTCAGCCTCCCAAAGTGCTGGGATTACAGGCTTGAGCCACCGCGCCCGGCGCGGAAACATATTTTTAAAACATTCACGAGTAAAAACCCAAAATATTTGCACACTAGTACAAATGACACTAAAAAAATAAAACCTCTGTTTTCTGAATATCATGTATTAATAAGGGAATAGCTTTCTCTCAACAGGTGACAAAGAATATTTTCATAAGCTTAAAATGCACTTATCTGACTTGATAGAGAAACAAATTACAATCCCCCTCTGGAACTGCACAGTGGTGTCGTGAGCTGGCGTCTCATGAGAGCCGATCAGAGGTAACTCTTCCTGCTATGGTCTGAATGTGTCCCTCTCCATCAGGCCCCACTCATATGTTGGAATCCTAGCACCCAAGGCAATGTAGTAGGAGGTGATTAGGTCATGAGGGTGGTGCCTTTATGATGGAATTAATGCCCTTATAAAAACAGACCCTTGTAAACCAGTTGAGGTGGCTTATGCCTATAATCCCAGCACTTTGGGAGACCGAAGCAGGGAGATCATGAGGTCAAGAGACTGAGACCATCCTGGCCAACATGATGAAACCCAGTCTCTGCTAAAAACAACAAAAATTAGCTGGGCGTGGTGGCGTGCACCTGTAGTCCCAGCTACTTGGGAGGTTGAAGCAGGAGAATCGCTTGAACCTGGGCGGTTGCTGTGAGCTGAGATCGTGCCACTGCACTCCAGCTTGGCAACAGAGCGAGACTCCATCTCAAAACAACAACAACAACAACGACAACAACAAACAAACAAAAAACAGACCCTGAGGAGGCCAGGTGAGGTGGCTCACGCCTGTGATCTCAGCACTTTGGGAGGCCGAGGTGGGTGGATCACTTGAGGCCAGGAGTTCAAGACCAGCCTGGACAACATAGCAAGACCCTGTCTTAATTAAACAAACAAACAAACCAACCAAAACCCTAAAAACAGACCTTGGAGAATTCTCTTGCTCTCTGCCCTGTGGGGATACAAGGCCAAGTCAGCAATTTGCAACCCTTCTGGGGTTGAGAACCCTTGCCAACCCTGACTATGCTGGCACCCTGATCTGGGACTTCCAGTATCCAAAACTGTGAGAAATCAATTTCTGTTGTTTATAAGCCACTCGGTGTATGCTATTTTGTTACAGGAGCCAGAACTGACTAAGGCACTTCCCAAGTCTGCCCTCAGTGATATCACATCTTCAGCTCAAAAGCAGCCATAGTGGGAGTACGTGCACCAGGGAAATCGGCTCAGTATTTTTTTTTCCACAAAGCCAGTTATTAAACATTTATCAGACACCACTGTATTTCTTTATCATTCTCTCTCTCTCTCTCTCTCTGTTTATATTACTATATGTTTTAATGAGCCATATGAAAATAAGATACAAACATCATAATCCTCAACCCCTTAATACATAAATGTGCATTTTCTTAAAACAAGTCATTTTTTCTGCATCAAAATCAGGAAATTAATTATTATTATCTAATCCACACACCTCTTTCAAAATGACCTTGTCCTCCCCACAATAATCTCTCCCTCTCTCTCTCTCTCTCTCTTTCTCTCTCTCTTTCTCTCTTTTGTAGAGACAAGGTCTTGCTATGTTGCCCAGGCTGGTCTAGAACTCCTGGCCTCAAGCAATCATTCCACCTGAGCCTCCCGAAGTGCTGGGATTACAGGCCCGAGCCACTTTGTCTGGCCCCATAATGTTTTTTATAGGTTCGGGATCCCATCCAGGGTCACCTATTCCGTTTAGTTGTCCTTCTTCCTTAGTTCCCTTTAGTCTGAAGCACTTTCTTAGTGTCGTCCTGTCTTTCATGACCTTGACATTTTTGAAGAGTACCAGTCAGTTTGTCTGCTGTTTCCTCCTGATTTACACATTCTTGGGTGCAGGAATACCTCAAAGGTGGTGCTCTTTGTTTTTTCCACTGCAGTGTATCAGGAAGAACATGATGTAAACTGACTTCCCATCTAGCAATATTACCTTTTGTCATTTGGCTGAGGTGGCGCCTGCCAGAATCCTCCACTGTAAAGTATATTGTTAAGTGTCTTGTACTTATGAGTTAAGAAATACTATTTTGAGGCTCCTATGGTAGAGCAGAGCTCTCTCTTCTCTCCGTGAATTTGTGTATGTATGTACATATGTATGTATGTATGTATATCAGTGGGGATATATACATACGTATGGATTCCTATTTTATTCAGGGGTTCGTAATCCATATGGACGTAGAAGTTCATTCGACTTGGCTCTTCCGTTCAATCGACTTCCTTATTTTCTGATATTGAAGGCTCTCCCTGCAATTCTCTGCCTTAGCCTTGGAGTCAACCATTTCTCCAAGGACACTTTGTTTCTTTTCCTGAAAATGGTACTAAAAACTACGTTCTGGATGCTAGGCATGCCCATTGGTACTGAGGCATTATTGTTGCTAAGCCTTCAAAGAAGACAGAGCTGGGAATGATCTGCATGCACACACACGTCTATCTGTCCACGTGTGCACGTGCATTCCATCTCTCCACACACAGTAAAACCCAGGGGTTCACATCGATACCCCTCATTACAGTCCACCTCAGAGTTACTCTCATCCTCTCCTTTCCCTTTCTGTATTTTTGTATTTCCCTTCATTGACAGAGAAACCTGACTCTCAGCACACTTAGTAAATTGTTTTATTTTCATAGCCCCCTCTTGTGTGTAACCAAACTTCTGGGCCCATGGGGCAAAAGCTCCAGCCCAGAGGTGCCGCCACCCCATCCATTCCCATTCTGGTACCAAAGGCCCTGGTGGAAATCCGTCCCCATGAAGAGAAAAAGAAAAGGAGAGGGAAAGAGGGAAGAAGGGGGGAAAGACCAGTTAGAAAGCCTGGTTGCAGACCAGTCTCCCTTCCTCACTGGCCCCCCAACCAAAATGGGCAAGGAAAGCTCCGCCTGGATTAAGGGGAAGGGGCGGGAGCCATATTCATTTACTCTGAAACAGTGCCCTGAGATACTGTCCAGCAATTTCATTATAGTGCCTTTCAAATGAATGATTTTGAAGATGAGTATTTTTTCAAAAACAGCTTTCCCCCTTTATTACAGAACCAATACATGAACATTACTGAACATTAAAAAAATAAAAGGAAGACTTTTAAAAATACAATTACCAACCATTTTCCCATCCATAGATAATCACTTCACTTTTTGGTATATCCTTCTCCCCACCGCCCAACTCTTTTAGTTTGAAAAATTTCAAACCCACAGCAAAGCTGCACTGATAGTACAATGAACATCTGTTGCCTCGTCACCTAGATTCACCAAGTGTTGTCATTTTGCTACATTTGACTTGTCTCCTTTCTACATATTCATATGTTTTATATTTTTCTACTTAAGTCATTGGAGATTCAGTGGCAACTTATTACATCTGTGGTAAAATTTTTAGATATAAATTACACTATGGTAATTTATATCTAAAACCTTCAGTATGTTAACTAAGAACAAGAATGTTACCCTACAGTACAAATGTCTCACCCAGAAAATGAAGCCAGGCACAGTGCCTCATGCCAGCACTTTGGGATGCCCAGGTAGGAGAATGGCTTGAGCCCAGGAGTTTGAAACCAGCCTGGGTAACAAAGTGAGACCCTGTCTCTACAACAGATTTAAAATGAGCTGGGGATGGTGTTGTGTGCTGAGGTGGGAGTATCACTTGGACCTAGGAGGTTGAGGCTGCACCGCAGCCTGGGCGACAGAGAGAGACTCTCTTGGGGCAGGGGCTGAAGAACACTTCCCCAGTGATAGCTTGTTCCTGTTTCATTTTCCCCAGTTGTGAAACTAATAATGTCCTTGGTCCCATCGTTGGTGATGTTAAATCGAACCACTTGGATGATCTGGTAGATTTCTCTGTTGTAAAGGTAACCCTTAAATTAAATCACTTGGATGATCTGGTAGATTTCTCTGTTGTAAAGGTAACCCTTAAATTAAATCACTTGGATGATCTGGTAGATTTCTCTGTTGTAAAGGTAACCCTTAAATTAAATCACTTGGATGATCTGGTAGATTTCTCTGTTGTAAAGGTAACTCTTTCAAATTTATAAGTAGCGTGTAAGTTTACTGCTTACTGTTTTCCAAAAGACTGTCACCAATAATTAGATTTCACCTCTTTTAAAAAATCTTCCTGTTTCTTTTTTTAAAAAAAGAAATTTGAATATCAGCATGAACTCATGGATTATGTTTTTATTCCGTGTGTTATAATCTCTCCTGTCATTATGCATCCTGATGTTCAAATTGTCCCTGAATTTGCCAGTGAGTCCCCTTCAGCCCGGCTCCTCTACCCTCTTGCCACGTTCCCTTCACTTTTTGAGCACTTACGTTACCTTACCACACACAATGCTCCAGGCTCATCTTGAAATTTTTGCCCCGGCCCCCGAAGCAGCTGTTCCTCCAACTTCATTTTAATGGGAAATGATGTTTAAAACTAGGATCTGAGCCTTACTTAGGTGAACTTGTTGCTTACGAAATATCACTGCGTCTCGACTTTTTTTAGAGCTAGCAACCATATACAAAAAATATGAAACTCTACAAATCAACGAATCCCTCTAATGCAGTCTCCAAAGGGTTCTCCCTTCTTCTTCCATGCTGGCTTTTTCCCCACCTCCCAGCGGGGCACCCAGGCTCTCAGGGCCGTGTGTATATTTGTACTCATTCACTCAGTCCCGCAATCCACAAATAAGCTTTCGACTTGTCTCCCTTCCTGGAAGAAAATCTCATTACACATACACATCTACGTAGGCAAAGGTCCCTCTCTTTGTCCCAGTCGGTGACATTTTGCTGACATTTTGGCCGGTGCACCTGCTCACTTTAGACGGAGCAGGAGAGCAAAGCGCTGGCCTGGGATCCAGGGAGCCGCCTGGGACCAGCCCCGCGGCCACAGGGGCGCCTCACCACGGGTCCAGGGCGGAGTCTGCGGGCTCATAAGGCTGTAGCCAAGTGTCACTGTCGTTCTCTTCGGGGACGCACGTCCCTTTAACCGGCAGGGCGCAGATGGTCAGGGGATCCGGGTGTTCGCCGCCGTCGTGGGCCCCGGGCCTGAAGTACGCACAGAGCGCGCCAGAGAAGGTGTCGTGGAAGGTGAAGATGTGGGAGCCGTCGGACGCGTTGAAGAAGGACAGCTTTCCCGCCTGGCAGTCCAGGAAGACGCCCACGCGCCGCGGAGGCACGCGCGGGCTGAGCGCGACGCGGTGCGGGGCCAGGACGAAGTACTCGCAGCCGTCCCACAGCCCCAGCACCCAGTAGCCGGCCGCCGGGCTCAGGCGCACGGGCCGGGAGCGCGGCACTGCGGCCAGGCAGGCGCCCAGCAACCAGCGGCTGCTGCAGCCCACGTGCACCTCCCAGTAGTGGCGGCCCGCGGAGAAGCGCTCCAGGCTCAGCGCGCACTTCTGCTCTGAGGCCCGCTGCGGGTCGCTGGGCGCGGGGCTGGGCGGCGCGCCGCGGGAACGCACGCTCTTGCAGTCCTCCGACACTTCCAGGCTGGGGTGCGCGGAGGCCGGATCCAGAGTCACGTCCACTGCGCAGAGCCACAGCGTTAGTGCCCGCCCAGGACGGGCTGAGCCCCCCCCGCCCCTCTGTCTCTTCCTCAAGGCAGACAAACCTCTAAGTTCTCTTGGTGGAATCATTGATAAAATGAAACCCTCGCCCCTACCCTCACCCTCAGCCCTGCAAGCCTCCTCCCCAGGACTGAAGTGGTGTGTGTAAGTCACTCCTGAGTGTTTGATAGTGACAAGGAATCCTGTCCTTTCCTGAGCTGGAAGGTCCCTGAATTCCATACCAGAGATAGCAAAGGAGGTAGGTTAGCGGGGAGTGCTATCTCGTCAAGGGGAAGGACCTATGGGCTGGTTCTAGTTCCTACTTATGTGACCTTGAGATAATTAGGAGAGCACTGGGCATCGTTTCACAGAAATTTTTGGATTTATTTTTATTTTTATTTTTAGTATACAGTCTTTCAGAAAAGTTTTTTCTTTTTAGGATTTTAAAAGGACCTTTGAGATCATCTCGTCCAGTGCCCCACACTTCAATAGCCCATCCCATTTGACAGATGGGAACCTAGAGGACCCCTTCTGTCAGAGGATCTGGGAGGTTCCTTACAGACTCTGCACTCTCACCTGCAAATAGCCCCAAGCCAGATGGGAATAAACCTAGAAATAAATCCGTGTGTGTGTGTGCGCACACATGCATGTGCATGCAAACACACATGTATGTGCATACGCATGCAGGCATATGTGTCATGTGGCGTGTTTGCAAGTGTGCTTGTGTGTCTGTGTGTGCAGGCCCCATGCTTGGCCCCTTGAAAGCCCCATCCGCTGATCTCAGATCTCTGCCTCCCTTCTGTTTAAGATCCAGCCAACCAAAGACACAAATCAGTTTCCTGGCTTCAGTTACCTGCATATTTTTGGGCTGCTCTCCACTCTGAAACCAAACAGAGAAGGGGAAAAAAGCTCAGAAATCTCAGTCAGTAACTTTGAAACCTTAACAAAGGTGCCAGATGCATGAGGGATGCCTGCAGATCGAATGACCCTATTCCCACCATGAAAACTGGTTTGAATCCAGACTGGTCTTGGGTTCACCATGTTATTTTCCTGAGACTGTAAGATTGAGTAGAAGACTGTGTCATTGATAGATGAAACCAGAGCTACATGCAGGCTGAGATTCTGCTGGAAAAAGCAGGAGAATGGAGTGTGTAGGTAGAGAGACTCTATAAGCAGCCTGGATGCCCTGAGAGACAGAAATGGAGCCTCAGCCTCTGACTGGCCAGGCTGTGCCCAAGAGGCCCAGCTGAGCCTGACATCTAGGACATCTCAAGATGCCCTCCAGATGCCTTGCCTTTTCCTGACATGCCTCCATTCTTAATGTGAACCAATCTGAGTGGATTTCTGTTGTGTTTTATCTTGTTCTGTTTTGCAACAAAGATTATCACCAAATCACACAAGCAAAAGTAACACAAGACATTCTCAGAGCTCCATATATTTACAGCAAGGCTTTGCTGCCCCGGTTTTGCATCAGAATAACTGGTGAAGCTTTAAGCACAATAGCTCTTGTGTGGAATATCTCAATTTTACAAACATGTCGATTTTCCCTAACTTTATGTAGAAGTTCAAAGCAATCCCATGTAAAACTGCATTTGGGTTCTTTGGGGAGATTTATGAATTTATCCTAAAATTTATATTTTAAAAAGGTTCATTCACCCTAAAAAGGAAGAGGAAACGGAGAAGGAAAACTTCTACTTTCAGATACTACAAAAGCCATAGTAGTGAAAACAGTGATGTGATAGGCAGTCAATGGACAAACTCAGATAGAGATGGGAATCCAATATGCATCAAAGGTGGTTCCCCACATCAGTGGCAACCCCAGAATAGTGTAGTAAATGGCGTTGGTAAGCCCAATGCACTATATGGAGAAAAATCACAGGATTCTCACCCAGTAGCTCATAAAATGGCAAATTTTAGATGGATTAAAGATACAGATATAACATAAAGATAGCAGCAAGGTTTTTGTAGTTACATAAATAAAACAAATAGAAGAAAGTGTAGGAGAATATATTTGTGACCTAAGTGTGAGGAAGGTCTTCGTCAACAAAACTTCAAAAACACAAACCATAGGGTAAAAGGTTGATGGATTACATTTTATCAAAATTAATAATTTCCTTTCAATAAGGGGAACTATGGACAAAGCTAATGGCAGATGGCATGACAGAAGGAATTCACAATGTTTATCTACAAGGGATTAATATCTCTCTCTCTCACACACACACACACACACACACACACAGAGACACATGCAGACACACACACAATATTCCTGTTAATAATAAAAGACAGCAATCCTATAAGAAAAATGGGTCAATGAAATGAACTGGCAATTTTCAGTACAGGAAGCCCCCAAAGCCAAGTAACATGCATGGAGATGCTCAAACTTTTCAGCACTCAGAGGTGTGCAAATCTAAAGAACAATGAGCCATCACTAATCCCCATTGATTGGCAACCTTAGAAAACTGGCTCACATGAGATGTGGGCAATGGAACCTCCCTGCATGGCTGGCGGCAGGATGAGAACACTGTCTCCACAACATCCCACTACCCCACTTAGTGAACATACTCACCACGGATGGGCCAGCAATCCCCCGCCTAGTTATATACCACAGAGAAATCTCCACACAGGGCCATAAGGAAATTATGCATTCTGTGTTACGGAGTGAGAGGCAGCCTGGATAACTACTGCAGGAGGGTGGCTGGCTAAAATGAAGCGCTCTACGGTAAGGAGGAGAACCAGACTGAATGCACACGAGTGGCAGCAATGGATACTAAAGCAGGATGACGCAGGAGAAAAGCAAGGAACAGCACAGAGCCATGAATGTCACTTACATGAACTATGATGCATATGCATAAATCAATATCCACATTTTGCAAGAATATATACGAAATATACACATTAGACTGTCTGCATTATGGGTGAACAGAGGGAGGTATGCAGAGACATATTTACATGTACAACACACCCATGCCAGAACCATGGACATCTTAGAGGATGGGCACCAAGAGTCGACGTAACTCTGATGTGTGACCAGGATTGGAACTAGCGGTTTGCTTTACACTTAGTCTTCAGGACAGAGTATAACCTCTACCCAGTGACATAGATTCATACATGCTGTGTGAGGCTGTGGAATGCAATCAGAATGATAAGCCCGATTAGTTAATCAGGGTGAGCTGGACTGGGGTGCTCAGATATAAATGAGGAACAGTCAGAGAGAGATGGATTCCACTCACCAGCCTGGCCTTCAGCCCGTCTCCAGTCTGAAGCAGCCAAGGGAAAACAGGGAATTAGCACATCGGGACCCCAAGCTTCCTTGTTCAGACATTACATCTTACACCCACCCCATCACCTCTCTGTCTCTTCCCCCTCTCCTGCTACCCACACAGCCAGCAGGGGTCCTGCCTGGGCATCATACCTCGTTGGGAGATGAGAAGATATATGGGGAACCAGATGCAAAAATATGAATGAGAAGGAATAGTTCTAAGAGGGGTCACTTACCAAGCTCTGTCTGAAGCTTCTCTGCAAGCAAAACACACAAAGACAACATCAGCCTGCAGATGGGTGGAGCCACCTTCTCAAAACAGGCCACTAGGAAGAGCTTTCCTGATCTTAAACCATTGTTTTTTTTTTTTTTTAATTGAGTTTTCTACATATTTATTATTTTGTTTAGAACTCTAATTGTAACAATTACTGTGAGGAGTATTTTATCATTTAATAATATTTTAACTGATTTCCTATATAATTTAGTAAAACAATAAATCACTTAAATGAAAACAAATGTAATGTATTTTGTTTTAAAGTACTTGAATACTTGATGAAACTTTCCCAATCCTTAGAAAATTCTGAAGCATCTATTATATTAAACTTTGTAAGTACCAGGAATGCTAAGTTTTTAGACAGCCAAACTCTGGAGTGAGATCCTCTGGGTCGAATGCCTTGGTCTGATATTTCCTAAATATGCTTTGGGGAACATTGTTTAGTTCTTCTGGGTCTCAGTTTCTCCATCTATAAAAAAAGGGTGATAATAGACCCGGACTCACTAGATTCCTGGGTGGTATGAATCTTAAACCATTGTTAAACACAGTTTCCTCTTTGGCTCTTCATTATCCTAAAAAAGGAGGCCCATCTGCAGGACTTTAAGCCTCATCCAATCTGACTTCAAAGGTGGAAATCTGCACAGGGCCTAGAAGGGGAACCAGATCTTAGTACTGACATACCCCTCCCAGGATTCAGGTTGTTCTTTCTGCCTGAAATCACAAGCTTCCTGGGGAGGAGCTCCTGAATAAGTCCAGGCACTGAGCGCAGCCTATGTGAGCCTCAGGGTCACTTACTGGGTACATTATTTAAAGGACTGGAAGGACATCACACCCAATTATTTCCCCTGACCAAATACCAAGGACTCCAACATTTTGTTAGTAGAAATGCATTCCTTTGATCTGTCCACCCAATGTCAAGTTCTTTCAAAAGTAAATGCTCCTGGGAGAGGCATTCAGATTATAGTGTTATGACTTATAATTCAGACTATAGTGTTAATGACTTATTCGGGCTATTTTTTTTCCTTCCCCTTGAAGGACTAGGGAGACTGCAAGACAAGCGTCCCCATCCTTATAGTCTCATCTGAATTGCCCCCAACCCCAACACCATGGCGGCCTTTTCCTCCATTCCCCCTCCTCTGGGTTCATCACTCTTCTCTCCTCTGTACAAAGACACACATCCCATGGCTTCAAGTTTCCAAGTCCCTCTAGGGAGAAAAGGGAATCTGAGAAATTATTCCCACTTTGGTGCAAATTAAAGGTGCCACCCTTCCTAGTGGCATTTGCATGAAAAAGAGAAGGATATTCTGGGAAGATGAACCAGAGAAAGTAAACGTTTATGATGGAATCTTAACGGAACTGTCTAATTTGCAGGGGAGGAGCTGGCCAGGTCTGTCCAGAGGGTCTCAGGCAGCTGTACGGTGGCAGGCAGCCATCGTTTCAGCCCCTTAGCAAGTGGAGAGCTGGAGTCTCCCAGGGATGGTTTAGAATTAGATAGCTGCCAGCCGATCCCGTCCAAACGGAGCCTCTCCTCCCACTGCACAGGCACAGGGATCCACCCGCTGGCTGACAGGCAGTGTGGCCCCACACCCAGAACTTACCCAGCTCTGCAGTGAGTTTCCCTGGAGAAAATAAAAATAAAAAAAAAGAGGAAAGTCTCTCAGGTTGGGGAATGAGGCAGACAGATGGATGAACACTGAGGCCTCACCTCCGACGTGTGCACTCCCGTCCCCGGTGATCTGGGGGCCCAGGCTGGGCCGGACAGTGAGGTTCCAGGCAGGGGATGGGGAAGTGCCCACCCCCCGCCCCATTCCTCGGCTCCATAGGAGGGTGACCCAGCGCCCTCCCTTCTGCTAGTGTGAAATGTTGGAACCTTCCAAATAGATTTTGCCCAGGGGAAACGTTGAGCCCTGGTCACATACTACGGCTGCTTTCCCTGGTGCCTGATGGCAGCTTTCTGGCCTTGTGTGGAGGTACTATGCATCAACCCGACTCCTGTGCTTTACAAAAACCCCAGATGAAATGACGCTGGCAGCAGACCCTGGAGACTGTTCCCTCTGCACAGTGGAACGTTAAGCAAGCCGTGAGGGTGCAATCGACAGGAGCCAGTCAACCCTGACATCTGCACGCGAGCCTCTGTGTGGGAAATGTCACTCCGTTCAGCACCTTCTCTTCTGCCCCTATGAACGATCTTCCCTTTCCCCACCGCGGACTGATGACCGTGGATGGCCGCCCTGACACCTTGCGCTGGAATAAATGCTTCTAACGGGACCCCGGGCCTTTGGATTCCCGCGGGTTGGCACCTAGGGAGGTGGGCGCCGGACGCCCTGCTCCCCGCTCACCTTGTCTCTTCTCCGCCTGCTTCTTGAGCTTTTCTGAAGGGAAAACGGGAGGGGAGGGCTGAGCGTGCGCCCCTGCTCCTTCCAGGCCCCCATCGCGCGCCGCGTCCCCGCCCCCGCTCCCGAGCGCAGCCCGCGCGGGTACCTTGGCGTCTCCGCTGTTTCTGGAGGAGGCCCAGCGCCAGCGCCACGAGCACCGCCAGCAGCGGCGGCAGCACCGCCATGGTCCCCAGGAACGCGCGCTTCCACCGGGAGGCTCCGGGTAAAAACACGTCTGGAAAACACCCCACAGGGGCGGTCTCGATTTAGGCGCCACTGAACAGTGAGAGACCAGAGCAGCCTGCCCTCGGGCGACCTCTGGCTGGGCGGGGAAGCCGCCGGGCCCACCGCAGCCGTCTGCGAAACGCGCGCGCGAGGGGCGTCCCGGCGCTCTGGAGCTGGGAGCGGGGGCCGCGCGGGCGGGAGCGCGTTCCGCGGAGTGGGCGGCCGCGCGCGGCGCGGGGAACAGGGGTCCGGGGGGAGCCGGCGCCCCCGCCCCGCCCGCGGCTTCTGCGGCCACAGCGCCGCCCTCGCTCGGCTTCTCCCCACTCCTGCCCCCCGCCCGAAGGCAGGAGGGTCCCAGGGGCTCGGCCGGCGTTGGAAGCCCAGTGGGCGCCCGCTCTGCACCCGCACTGTCGCGCCCACAAGGCGTCTCCTCGCTTGTTTGCAATCATTCGGCTTCTACCTCGGTTCTCAGCACGCTTTTGGAAGAAGTGAATACCGAGCCAAGTGCGCGCGGCCTCGCAGCTCCCACCTCCCTCCCGGCTCCCCAGGGAGGACCCCCCGCCCCCCACCGCCAGCTCCCACCTCCCTCCCGGCTCCCCAGGGAGGACCCCCCCCGACCCCCACCGCCAGGCTAGACGTGGCCCAGGGCAGCGCCCACCGGCTCGCCCCAGCCGTGGCCGGGATGCGCAGAACCCACTGGCCCTTCACAAACTCTGTGGCAGTTTTAATAGAGTAACTTTCTGTGTCATCTAATTATTAGAAAATGTTGCTTTTATCTCAGATCTTTAAAAAATATTCTTTTTAAAAATTGTACTAAAATATACCTAACATTTCCCATCTTAACCATTTCTAAGTGTAGCTTCAGCGTCTCTAAATGCATTCACCATGTCCTGCGGCCATCGCCACCGCCCATCTCCAGAAGTTTTTTCCTCTTTCAAAACTAAGAATCAGCTGGGCACGGTAGCTTATGCCTGTAATCCCAGCACTTTGGGAGGCCGAGGCAGGCGGATCATCTGAGGTTGGGAGTTCAAGACCAGCCTGATAACAACTGGGAGAAATCCCGTCTCTACTAAAAACGCAAAATTGGCCGAGCGTGGTGGCGCGTGCCTGTAATCCCAGCTATTCAGGAGGCTGAGGCAGGAGAATTGCTTGAACCCGGGAGGCGGAGGCTGTGGTGAGCAAAGAGTGCACCATTACACTCCAGCCTGGGCAACAAGAGTGAAACTCCGTCTCAAGAAAAAGCAAACAGACAAACAAAACAGAACAAAACCTGAAACTCAGTATTCAATAAACAGCGATTCCTCTTCCCACCCCCAAGCCCTGGCACCTTCCATTCCGTATACTCTCCCATCCTTACGGATTTGGCTCCTCTAGGTAATCTCACATCCGTGGGAACAGACGGCATTTGCTCTTTTGTGTCTGGCTTGTAAGTGACATCAGTGGACTTTGGTTTTTGACTTTGTTTTTCTAGCAGTGCCTTTTTATTGTATGGTACAAAAACATTGGGTCACAATGGATTGGTCCTCACAACAGATGGTGTGTGAAGCACCGGCCTGGGGTCAAGAGCAAGGGCTCAGGGCAGGCTGTCTCTCTGAGCTGTGACCTTCCCTCTCACCTGTTCTGCCAGCCACAGACAGCTTTCCCTCTCACATCCCTGGCTTTGCGGTTCCTGCCACCAGAATGCCTTCCCAAAGGTATCAGTGTGAATCATGCCATTTATAAAGAGGTCTGTGCATGCAAACATTTACCCATCTAAAAATGTATATATAAACTTGTTTAATGTAAGTTTCATAATAAATATAAATAATATAAATTAAGATTTATATTAAACACTAAAAAGAAAATATTGGGTTTTTCCTGGTGCAAAAGGGAGACTCCCTCCTCTTCCCCTGTTTCAGTTCATTTTCCTTAGAAAATGTGTCCATTCTTTCTTTACAACACAAGAATGATTTTCTTAAGGGCCACTTGTTTGAAATGTAAACATAAAAGAGAGATCACTGCGTGGTAATTCCTGTCTCATGGGAGTTTATCTTAGGTGCGGGTCTCCAAGTTGGAACTACAGGCTTGCCATAGACATATCACATCCTTAATTTTTCCTTTGGTTAAAGACAGTTAGCTAACACAGATGGCCGTCCCCATTCCCAGGGGATTTAGAACTGTGTGTGATAAATGGTGTTGCCAAGTCCTCCTACTTGAAGACAAGTTATCATTTATCTTGAGAACATGTGTACATTGGCCTGTATCTGACCAACTATATCAAAGGGTGAGTTTTTTTTTCTCTGTTATAATAAAATAGCTACTGATTTGGACTCATGTGAAAAATGGCCTGTAGTTTGGGTTTGTCTTCAAAATGTTAAAAAAAAAATAGAACTATGAATATGAAACCCTTCGGTGGCTGCCTCATAATTAGACTTTAATAATGACCTTGCCTTCGGCTGGCTGCCTCCACGCCCACTTCCTGGACAAGCCTTTTGTAATCTGTGGACATGCCCTGCTACTTTCAGCCTGCTTCGTTTTTCTCTACAGCACCTGCCACCTACTAATGTGATGTGACAGGATGTACTCCTTTTGCTTATTCTCTGTATCCCCCACTGGAATGGGGACTGGGATCACATTGTGGAAACTCAACAAACACTGTTCGGGAGATTGCTTTAGGAATCTATAAGCTCCCATGATGCATCTGACTAGTAGAGTTGAAGAGTTTTAGTGTATGGCCTTAGGCACAGAAATGTGGGCTCTCTGGGGCCCCCCTCACTGGCTGTTTGTGTAGTAGTGTTCTTAGTGTGTTCCTTATATCTAAGTTGCTGACTTCTCAGGTGCCAAGGCCAACACATCCTATACGCAGACGGGCCCAGTACCATTGTGACTTTATAGACGGCCTTTGGGCCAGTGCATATGTAGATGTGAGGAGTAAGAAGACGGGTGTGAGCTGACAACCACTGACCTGCTATCTGAACCACATAGTCTTTCTTCTGGCCCAAGAGGAGATTCTGGATGGAGAGGGACACGTTGCTGAGGGCTCCCTCTCGGACGATCACAGATGTTTCCAGATTGAACAGGCCCTGGGAATCCTGGACGATGGCTTCAAACTCTGGAGGCAGGCACTGTCCCTGGTGGTTTCTCCACTGAGCCTTAGGCTTGGGGTACCAGCCACTGGATCTGAGCCTCAGCTGAATGCCTCCTTCCTTGGAGCCCTCAAGGGAGAGGTGAGGTTCTGAGCCCTGCCCTGGTGGAGGCAGGAAGAGTGGGAACAATCAGCCTCCTTCTGAGAAATCCATGCATAAAGTTCATGCCACCGTTCACCACTCGTAGTCACCATAAAGCATCATGATCTGTGACTGCTATTAAGACACGTGTGGGCTTGAAGCTCCCCATCCATGGACTGGAAATGACAGTCTAAATCAGCGGTAGCATGTGGGGACACTAATACCCCTAAGGGACATTTGGAAATGGGAAGGGGATCATTAGGTGTGGAAGGGCTAGTAGCATTTAATCATATTACGCAAGGGACAGTTTCCCTGAAATGTCGAATAGCACCACCATGAATTCTAACACCTTAGAGTTGTGACCCTTCTCTCCCTCACGAATCCCCCCAGAGCTCCAGTGCCTGCATTATACACACTCTTTTATCTCTCCATCCTTGTGGGACTGACACTATATTTTGAATATGCAAAACATTAATGTGGTTTAAATGCCAATGCTGTATAGAAATGTATATCAGGGAGAAAAAAGCTCCATCCTTTCCGTGCCATCACACCTCACCCTAGGTAAATAACCAATTTCATTAATTTCTGGTTTATACTTTCTATGTTTCTTTTTGCAATGTTTCTCCTTCTTTCTTACACATGCAAGTATGTATTATCGAACCCTGCATTTTGCTTTTCTCTCTTAACAATACTAGAAATCACTCTGCCTCCACTGAGAAATCCCCTCATCATTTTTTCCAGCCGCATAATGTATATAAATAGATCATACTCAGCTTTTATGTATGCTTGGACATTTAGGTGGTTTCCACTATTTTGCAATTATTTTTCAAAAGCTTTACAAAGATTAAACTCATACATATCCTTTTTTCATATTGGAGGTATTGGAGGTGGAATAAGTTCCTGGAGGTGGGATTCCTGTGTCAGAGGGTAGACACACAGCTAGTCCTCTTAAGTATTGTCAAATTCCCCTGCCCTGGAGCTTCCCAAGTTTGAATTCCACTAATATGGTACAAGAGAGCTTGCTTCTCCATTGTCCCATCAACAGTACATGAAAGAGCTTTTAAAGTTTTGCTAGTCTGACAGTTTTAAAAAATTGCATTTTGATGTAGCTTTGATTTCCCTTTCTCTCATTACGAGTCACTTTTACTCATTTTATATATATATATATATATATATATATATATATATATATATATTTGTGCGTGTGTGTATATATATATATATATATTTACTCTCTCTCTATATATATAAATAGATAGATAGATATAGATATATTTTTTTACTCTCTCTGGAGAGAACTCTGGAGGCAGGCACTGTCCCTGGTGGTTTCTCCACTGAGCCTTAGGCTTGGGGTACCAGCCACTGGATCTGAGCCTCAGCTGAATGTCTCCATCCTTGGAGCCCTCAAGGGAGAGGTAAAGTTCTGAGCCCTGCCCTGGTGGAGGCAGGAACATATATATATATATATATGTAAAGAGAGAGAGAGAGAGAGAGAAAATATATATCTCTATCTATCTATCTATCTATCTATAGATAAATAGATAGATAGATAGATTATATATATATTTCAAGACAGATTGGCACCCAGGCTGGAGTGCAGTGGCACAATAACAGCTCCCTGCAGCCAGATCCTTCCATTCCTGAGTAGTTGGGACCACAGGGACACACCATACCTGGCTAAGAGATGGGGTCTCCCTATGTTGTCTGGGCTGGTCTCAAACTCTGGGGCTCACGTGATCTGCTCGTCTTGGCCTACCGAAGTTCTAGGATTACAGGCTTGAGCCACTGTGCCCGACTTTTTTCATACGTTTAGGGGCTATTTGTGTATTTTTTGATGAACCGATAGTTTTAAAAAATTGCATTTTGTTTTGTTTGTTCATTTGAGAATGGACCTACCCATCAACTTTTATGTTTTTCAAAAATTAGCAACATTCTTACATGCTCTGTGACTCTCCCTCTACTTGGGCAAAGCAACTGTATCTCCCTGTGCCCTACAGGGCCTTAGGACAGTCCACGCACCTGCTACCTCCAGCTCCCAGACAGCTTCGCCAGAGAAGTTGTCGGAGAGGAAGCGACAGCCATACATGCCCTCATCGGAGGGGGCGATGCTGCGAAGCTGCAGGGCCACACTGCCATCGGTGATGTCATCCTTGACCAACTTGGTCCTGTTCCGGAATGCCTCCATCTGCGTGCCCAGGAGCTCCTGCTGCTCCCGGTACAGGTGCACCACGTCTGAGGTGCGGCTCCGGAACCAGCGGATCTCCATGTGCTGTGCATCCAGGTAGGGCGAAAGGTGGCACGAGAACTCCACCTCCTCACCGGCCAGGGCCAGGATGGGCTCCTCAGGGCCAACCACTGTGGTCTTTTCTAGGATGAGAAGTCGGAACAGGAAAAAGCAGCCCTCATCCAATTTAAAAAAAAGTTTATCACACCCCTTTACAGCTGAGGAATCTACAGCAAATCATGCAAACTCTACAGGACAACCGGCCTGGGTCCTTGAACAAGTAATTTTTATGAAAAAATGTGAGTGCATGATTAAATGAATACACAGGTGACATCACAACCAGATTTGTGGTGCTGAGCTGGTCATGGTTTGATCCAACCAGGTACAAATGTTATTTTGGGAACAATTATGTCAATATTACCAAGGCATTAAGTGAAATGAAATCTTTGATCAAAAAAGCAAGTTTCAAAAAAAAAAATCTGTACACTATCATCCTGAGTAAAAATCATATGTATTTGTATAAATATGCAGAGAAAAATATCTGAGACACCGAATTGTTGGTGGTGATAATTTCTGCATGATAAGAATAGATATTTTCTTATTTTTGCTTATCCGATTTTCCAAGTTTAAAAAATAATTCCCATGTACATCTTCTACAAAGGGTATCAAAAATCATCTATGAGGGTTCCCTGCTCCACAGGTACCCTTCCTTTGAGACTTATTTGCTGGGGTCTTTCATTTGATGACCCTCCTCTTTGAAGGCTTCCTCATGGGGCCTCTGCGTTCCCTTTGGTCTGGCCTGTTTTCCGCAGTTCCCATGAGAGTTGCTGCTCCTGCACGGTTCTTCCGCATGCAGGGTTCCCTGCCACCCCACACGCACTCACTCTTCTCTCTGGCCTCTGTACCTCCCCTCTCCTTTCTTTCCAAGTTTAGCTCAAAGCCCATCCCAGAGCTCTCCTGTCATGGACCCTCCCTGTCCTGCACTCGGCTCGCTCGCTCTCTCTCCCTTTGCTCACACTATTTTAGGCTTCTCATTGCCCAGTAAGTGAATATCCAATACCCTTCCTACAAGTTTCCCTCTTCAGTTTCTCTCCGGCTGTCTCTCTCCACACACCGACGTCTGGCTGTTTCCCTAGGCACATCCTGCCCTAGCTTATCCCTCATCTGTCATCCTCCTGCAGAACGTGCATCCTGCAAGCCTCTGCTCACACAGTATTCCCTCTCTATGGCTCTCCTCAGCTTTCCAGGAACAAATCGTTGCTCTTAGCTGTGCTCCCAATGTCTTTGATGCTACGTCCACCGCCAACCCCCTCGACCACAGACTGCTGAAGACCAGGGCTATGCTGCAGTCACCAGAGAATTACAAAATCACCTTTGAATTATTAGTTTACACCCTCCGTTGGCTGCATCTTTCATGAGAGAAGTGTTGCAAAGGGTGGAGTTAAAAAATGTCTATTAATGGGTTCAGCACAAACACAGGCCAGTGAGTTTCCTGGCACCCTCTTGCTCTGCTCCCTGTGACGCCTGTGGATTTCAGAGTGCTGAGCAGTGTGCAAGAGGTGTTGGGGACTGGAGAGATGGTGGAGGAACACTACAGGCTGGATAACGCTCAGGGGTAGTGGCTCTTCAACAACCAGGACCGAAGTCTTTTTTGAATTCTAGCATCTGGCATTGACCTGGTACTCTATTCTAAGATCTTAGCCCTGCGGAGCACCTGGCAGGAGGTGATTATGTCTTGGCTGGGTGGGCTGCAGAGACACGATACCTGGGTTCGGCTCCCCAGGCCGAAGGAGGAGGAGGTGCATGAAGAAGACGAGACTGCTGGTCAGAGATACTGGCTTCAGGGAGTCCAGGGAGACTGGGAAATCCACCATCTTTCATCAGCAGTGGGAGCCACCTGGAGAGGGACAAGAGGGTGCCGGAGTGATGTGCAGAGGTCGGGGGAGCTGGAGCTCAGTCCATCAGACCTGAAGTCTGTTGTGGCCTCAGTTATTTTTGTCTTATTCTCAAATTCCTTACAAGCCTCAGTGCTTGGCTTCTCTTACACCATGGCCGATGTGAGAGCTGCTTCTAATTTTTCCAGAGGACACTGTTAATGGAATCCCTGGCCTTGCCCGGGTGCACAGAGCTGCAAGGGAACAAGGCTGAAGGATCCCAGAGGAAGCAGCTTCTGAGCTGCTCATTGTTTAGAGCCAGGAATAGAGCCACATAATGTGTGGGGGTTCAGTGCCCCCCTTTTCTGGGCTTAGCGACTCCTCAAACAAAGGGAAATCTCTGAAGATCTCAGATGCAATTTCATTTTCCCTGCCTCACCGCCATCAACCCAACCTTTGTCCCATTTCCCTTTGGTCTGGAACATTGAGTCCACCAAACAGAGGGACAAACACAGAGTCTGCTCTCTCAGAAGTGGAGTGCTTGTGGTAGCTACTTGCCAGCCCCAACAACTTCCCGGGACACTTTGCTCCAGGCCTGGGACCTCAAGTTGGTACCTTCAGGAGGTCAGCTGGTAATTGTTCCTACCCTGGGCTAGCATAACTGACTCCATGTTAGCTGTAAACTCCAACCCGACTTCCCCCTCCTTACCACAGCCCCTTTGGGTGCATAACTGGGTCACGCTGCACTTAGAAGCATTGAAGGTACTGCTCCTAACATGTGTAACCATTGTAACCGCATCCTGCTTGGCATACCTCCCCACTGCTATTGTAAGACAATAGTTTCCCTTTGATCATTGTGTTGAAGGAGGCTGATCGCCTCCCTTCTTGGTAATTGGATGGAAACTCCTTGTGCCCACAGCCCCTTCCTCTAACCTGCTTTTCCGCTTCTGTAAAATTCTGCTTCAGCTAGGCTCCCCCTTCCCTACCTAAATCAAGGCATAAAAGATAATCAGGTCCCTTCCTCAGGGCCAAGAGAATTTTGAGCATTAGCCATCCCTAGGTTGCTGGCAAATCAATAAAGGACTCTTAATTTGCAACTCAGAGCGAACTCAGAGCGTGGTGCGTTCCTTCTAACTCGTTTGGTTACAACAATAGCATCTTCGGGGCCACAGTGATGGAGTCATCCCATCCAGCCACCCCTTCCCCATCTGTGACCCAGGAGGCCCAGAGCCAGTCCAGACAAGGGCTGCCCGCTCACTCCTCATGCTCTGGTCCCTTGGGCCCCGCTAATGACTCATGGCCAGAGAGGGTATTGTAGCCAGTGAGTCTCTGGAGATATACAAAACTCTCCATATTTCTCTTGCATTTAGTTGTGCAAGATTTTACGCAGATTTTGTAATTGGCTGGACCTAAATCTCTGCCTGAACCATGGAAGAAACCAATGCCCACTCCCATGGACTGCTGGAAGCTCTTGGACTCAAACTTAATACCTCCCTTCCCCTCCGCCTTCCAAACATCCACGCCATCTTCATCCCGGGACTGCACCCCTTGCCTTTCACTTCATCACAGTGTCCTTGTCGGGGTAGGCCGTGGTGGGCTCCTCTCTCCAGCATTCTCTGTCTCCCCGTCTGCCCCCACCGCTTGGCTTTCCTTCTGAGACCTTGGCATGGCAGGTGCTTCTGGTGCCCTGTGGCTGCAGGGCACTGGCCACACGGTCAGCAACACCACCAGCAGGGTATGGAGGAAGGACTTTCAAAGCTGCTGGGCCATGCGGTGGCAGAAAGCTCAGAGAGGGTGTGCAGGGTGAGTTAATGAAGTGATAGAGGCTCCCCAGGGACCCTTAGGCTGGGAGGGACCCGGGCAGGCAGGAATGCAAGGGAAAGGGAATGGCCTGTGAAGCTCATGGGCTGATAGCCCTGTCCTTCTAGAGCTGAAATTGAGGGGACAAGCAGAGGACAGGTTGCGACAGCTTCAGGAGAGGAGATGGGGTCCCCCGGAAGTGGGGCCATGTTGACAGCTCTGTTATTGGAATCTGTTTCACACGATAACCAGCATGGGCAGAGGCCTTGGGCAGGGTCCAGGCTCCGGCTGGATAGTCCAGCCACTCACCCTCTGTGGCTAGTGGTGGAAGCCTATCTGTGACAGGTGGGGAAGCTGGCAGGGAAGGGTACTGGCAAAGGGTGTCTCCACAGGCTGTGCACTTTCTCACCCTCTCTTCTGTTCCCTTCTTTCTTTATGCTCCAGTCTTTTCTTCTGGATTTTCTAGACACAGGGTTGAGCCCCATGACAGCAAAAGCCAGGAGGGGCATGTCAGTGTGCAACTAGTGCCTTCCAAACCAAGAGGGGCTCAGGCTGTATTTATGCATCCATTTGGATGTGTTGGATGATTCTGGGGAATTAGTTGAATTTGCGTTAGGTGGTGACATGGGTCCTCCCATAAGGCGGTGATGGGGCATGAGACAGGCCCTATAGCTAGCCTCCTAGAAAGAGCACAGGCATGAGCAGACGTGCATGCACTCACAGTAATAAGAACATGCACTTCCTATCTATCAATCACTGACCTATACCTCAAGTATTATTATTATCATTATTACTAATAGGTCCAAGTTACAGATAAGGAAACGGAGGCCCAGGAGCTGAGCGACTTGCTCCTGCACACACAGTGGGTAGGGGGTAGGGTGAAGTTCCAGCCCCACTGTCTGGTTCCAGAGCCTTGCTCTGTGCTGCTCCGATTCTGATTCCTCACCAGCTGTGTTGTGTGTCTGGGTACATTCTTCAGTCACTCCTGTTACCCAAAACCATGACCATGTCGGGAATCAGCTGGTCACAGACCACACACTCACCCTGACCTGCCATCACGCAGAGGCACTGAAGAAGCGACCAGCTCACAGGGTGCCAGCCACAAAGCCAGCAGCCAACCAACCAGCCAGTGAATAAAAAATTTAAAATTCCACTACCAGATAAAGCAACTGAAAACCGAGATCTCCCTAAGACTTTATCAAGAGCATCTTCTCAGCCAGGAGGAACACGTACCTGGTCCCGTTGCTCCCAGCGCTCAAGGGTATCATCTTGAAAGCCTTTAATCAAAGACAGAGATGGTCTGGCAACTCCCTGAAGGGAAACATCAGTGACTTCTGAACACCACCCTTCTCCCTGCCTGCTGCCGTGAGTCTGCCCTTTCTGATGTCACTCTCCAATGAAGGATCAAGGGTGCTTGATCCTCACTTGAAGTGTGAGGGCCCTCCTTGAAGAAACACTTCCCGATCTCTGCTCTTTTGATGACAGTGTCAACTGATTTCAGGTTCTGTTCCTGATGAGGAGGTTTTGCTAGGGGAAGGAGTAAGAGACTGGAGGCATTGGATATTTGGGGAAGATGGAAAACCCAGTGTGTGGAAGGACGATCACAGAGGGACCTTTCAGCTGGACTGAGCTCTGCTGGTGGGCACACGCTCCCTGTCCTCCCAGGAGCCTTAGGCTGCTCCCTCTGGAAGGCAGATACTTGTGTGCAGAATGACGACTGCCAAGGGATCCTCAGTTGGTTCCCCAGTGAATAACTTAACAAAATAAAACCTGCCTTTCCATTTGTATTACACAGGTTAGATTTCCACAACGGCAAAGCCAGGAGGAGCATGTCAGTGTCCAGCTAGTGCCTTCCAAAGCGAGAGGGGCTCAGGCTGTGTTTAAGATCCATTTGGATGCATCGACTTCTGGGGATTTAGGCAAGGTTGTGTTAGGTCCCAGAGTGCAAAACACAGCTCCTCCCACAAGGTGGTGATCTCCAAATAGGTAATTTGGACCCATTAGTAATAATGATAATAATAATAATAATAATACTTGAGGCATAGATAAGTGCTTGATAGATAGGAAGGGCCCAATGCGTGTTAGTTCTTGTTACTGTGGGCACTTGCTCTCCCAAACACACACGTGCTTGTGTTTGTGCGCCTGCGAAGAGGCCAGCTACGGGACCTGCCTCGCAACCTCTCACTCACTTTACTGGTGTATTTCAGATTCTCTCCACACATATAATAATTTGCCTGAACTTAACACTGTCGTCCTGACAAAAAAGTAAATCTCCCAGGGGCATCTTAGAACACGGCCGTGTCCAAAGGCCACGCCCTCCCACAGCACCTCGCCTGCCTCGCAGCTGGGTGTTGTCCTGAGCGACCCCAGTGTCTCCGGGCGGGCAGGGCAAAACCTTGGGAATTCCCCTCACGTCATTTTAAGACTACATTTACCACTTAAATGACCACATGCTGAAATCTGGCAGGAAAATTCATTTTTATTAACAAACGACACATCACTTGCTCTCGCAAACACAGGAAGCATTGCGTTGCTCCGCACAGGCCTGAGGAGACTCTGGGGTCCCAGAGTGCAAAACTTCTCTAGTAACAAAGTATAGAGATTGTCCCTGAAAGTATGGCCTTTGCTTTGCTCCTTCCGTGAGCTGTGTGACTGGTGAATTTTGCCAGCCTCCTGTCCTCTGTTCCCCAAGCTGCAAGTCCCCAGGTGTCAGTGGGCGCTTGGCCCTCTCCCACTGACCTCCCTGACACCCCTTGCAATGCCCTTCCCCCTGGCAGACCCCAGCTAGTGCTCACTGCCTGCACTGATTTGATTTCAATAGGCCCACAAGAGGATTTCCCTCCTCTTAGTCTCTAAGGAAGACAGACGGATGGGCCCAAGAAAAGAACCACAATGAGGCTTGAAATCTTTTTCATCTGGTGGGCGGCAAGGGACGTATCAGGATCCTGCCTCCTGAGATGCGGCCCACCTGAACGGGCGTGGACATCTCCTCTCCACCACACTTGAAACATCCCACGCTGCAGCCAGGCTCGGATACTAAAATGGTGTCACTAAGTGTACGCCCTCCCAAAGCCTCCCACCGTCGTTTTCTGATGGCTGTTTTTGAAAGGTGGAGGTGTAGACAGCTGTCGAGAATGAGCCACTTACCTGGCAGGGGGCAGCAAAATGTCCGAAATGGCAGATGAGTCCTGGCGATCTCCCCTCCTCTGCGAAGGGCGATGACTGCTGTAAAGTGTCTTGGTCCCAGAGGCTAGGATTCCCTGGACACGGACTGGCAGCTGAGCTCCAGAGGCCAGTGCGCGTGTGACAGAGTTAGTTACCCATCTTCCACCCTAAGACAGATGCTGCTTGCTTTGCCCTTTGCTATAAAAACCAAGATGGATAGAACAAAACAAGGAAGTCGTCACATCCTGTCTCCGAGAAAAACCTTGAATTCCCATGTAAAACGTCTCTCCAGGGTCAGAGAAGGAGGGGAAAGGTATCTGAGAGCTTTGCAAAGAGCGGCAGCTGCAGAGGCTCAAAGTGGGAGGAAAGGCTCCAGCTGGGGGCAGGGTCTCCGTGCAGGCGAAGCCGGGACTCCAGGGAGGCAGAGTGGCAGTTCTCGAACAATGGAAGAGAGTACACGGCCATCTCCACTAACTGAGGGTGAGGGATGCCCAATTTTAACCCACCATAACCTTCTCCTCGGGGCAAGGTCAGTAAGGAAGACGTTCTGGGGGCACTGTCATTGGCGCAACCTGCAAAACCTATTCACGTGCGACTTAGGAATGCAGCGGGGTGTTGGATTGGGATTTCTCTAGTGGATCAGAGCTCAAAACAGAAGTAAGCACCACCCCACTCCAGCCCACCCCATTTTACTGCAGGCCATGGTGTACCTTGAGCATCAGTGGACTAAGACACTAGCCACCCAGCCACAGCCCGCACTGACATCCTCCCCAGGCGACAGGACAGAACTGAGGCACAGAGTAGCTCAAGCACATTTAGGACACCCAGGGACTCGAAGAAGTGCCTGTGTTAGGAGAGGGGCCTGTGCTGGGGGCAGGGCTCTTCATGGTGGGAGACCAGAGCCAGTGAGTTACAGGCATGGGCCTGGAGGTGACCGTCTGTGCTCGGACAGGCTGATAGGCCGGGCACCCAGGTTTGTTAGCGTGAAAAGATGTCCATGGGACAGCAAGGGGGCTGAACAGTGAGCTCAAACAGTGGGTGCAGTTCCCCGGGCCTGGGGAGACAGAGGAGGCCTCAGGGACAGGGTGTACTTAAAGTGGAAGCTGCATAAACAGTAGCATCAGAGAAGCAATGGGGCAGCCCTGGGGGGACAGACGCTCTTAGTGGAGCAAGGTGATTAGCACGTGGCAGGGAGGAAAAGGCTGGGGGCTGGCCAGGCCAGCATGGAGCTCACTATGGAAGGGAAGGCTGAGCAGAAATAGATGGGATCACATTTTAGAGGACGTTGCATGTCACATAAGGAAGTAGAAGAGAAGAAAAATGACACTTGTAGAGAGGGGCTGCTCAAAAATGAGAATGTGTCCTAAAGCTTTTCATGGCCCTTAAGCTGGATTCCTCCATGCTGGGCATCACCTGGGGAGAGGCAAGATTTTCACAGCAGGAATGCAAAGAGAGAGAGAAATGGGCATCATCCACTTCTGTGACTGCGAGTCACAGCCCTGGTGGGATGTGGGAGGGGGACACCACCTGTCACCACTGCCTGCATGTCAGGTGCATCATCCAGCAGGAAGATGTAAACCGCGGCTGTGCCCTGCCAGCTGAACCTCCCATTCCAAGACCCAGTAAATGCATAAAGACTCCGATCCGAAAGGAAGGTGGGTGCTGAACCCCTGGTGGGCTGTAAGTGCCACTGGAAAGCGTGGGATGGCATCATCCGCCCTCGTGTGGGATCTTACGGGTGTGAATTTACTTCCTGGAAACCTCTGTGGCACCTGAGTTCTTGTCCTGCCTCCAGGAAGAATGAGGTCATGAGGTACACAGACAAGTGAGGGGTGAAGATGAAGAGGAGCTTCACTGAATGTTCGAACAGCTCAGAGGTGATCTGCAGTGGGTAGCTCCTCTCTGTACATAAGTCCTCCCTCCCGTTGACTGTTCAGCTCTCAGCAGAGAAGACCCTGGAGAGGGTCGCTCCTCTCTGCCCACTGGTCCTCCAGCTACCAACTACTCTCAGCAGAGAGAAGGCTCTGGAGAGAGTGGCTGCTATCCACAGGCAGGTTGTTCGGAATGCCTCTGGAGGTCTCTGAAGCTCTCAGCGGAGAAGCTACCTCCTCCCTGCAGCTGGCCATCCCATTGTTTCTCCCTCCTCTACCCTGCTCTGGCTGAGCCTGGGCTTTTATGTATCTTGGAGGGGAGTGAGTGCATGCCGACTGGTCCCTGGGCAGCCAGAGGAGACATCACAAGTCGCCACTCCAGTCCGAGGGACTGGCAGCCCGGCCTCCAGCGTCCGAGTTCTCCCTAGCCTGAAGCTGAGGCCTTACTGGGGACCTGCCTTCTTCCTCCAGGGACTCTGTCTGTTTCCCACTGCCATTCATGGCCCCTGGGCTAGGCTCCAACCCTACTCTGAGATGCGGCGCAGAGAGAGGCCAGTCAGCGGGGAGCAGACACCCCTGGGCCTGTAGGGATGGGGGTTGGGAGGCTGGGTGTGGAGTGGTTTTTCCCAGGCCCCGGAAATGCAGGCTGCAGAGATGCCGGGGTCATGCTCCTGGGAGGGTGGCCACAGCTGCACCAGAGAGCTCCTGCGCCACCGACTCGGAAGGGGCAGGGCTGCTCCTTGTCCTCCGCCTCCTGCCTCCTCTGTGGCTGCAGTTATGGGTCGGGCAGCTGCAGCTGCACGCAGACGGGCAGATCCTGCCTGTCCCCGGCTCCCACCCAAGAGCTCAGGGAGGCTCCGATCCACAGCTGCACTTTGGGTGGCTGTAGCCCCACCCAGGAGGGTGGGAACCCTGCCTGCTCTGCAGAGCAGTTTGGATGGCTGTAGCATCACCCGGGGAGCTTCCTCCACAACCCAGAAAGGGTGGCGCTCTTACTGGCTCCACAAAGTATGCAGCCCCAGCCAGGCATCCCTGCTGCAGCTGGCATGATAGCAGCAGCCACTGCCATCATGTGGACGGTGGAGAACACGCCCCATTGCATAGCCTCCTTGCTGTACAGCAGCCCTCGCCATGAGGTCGTCTCAGGGAATTCTGGAGGGGAGAGTGGGAGAATCCTGAACCCCAGGGCAAAGGCTATTCTCATGCCCAGCATGGGCTACCAGAAGAGATTGAATGCGCAGTCATGCCAGCCTCATGAGCAGTGAATTCCTCCTTTACTGACGATTCCCCACCCCCTCCTCCAGCCTACAGCACGGCCCCCTGGGCTTCCTTGCTGTATTTCCTTTTTTTACTGTTCTCCAGGGAGCTCACACTGACATTCTTGTGACTGTCAGCTGGCATAGTGCCCACCATTGTGCTTTGTCCCACAGATGAGGACATGTGCATGCCCTGGGAAAGAGGAGAAGCCCACTGGCTGCCCTCAGAGCCACAGGCGCCCATCTTTAGCTCCTGAGAATGTGAGGGGCTGCAGGAGCCACACACACCCTCTACTCCCAAACAGCCCGACCTCCCCAAGGCAAGCTATTTTCGAGGGTGACTTGAATGATGCTGCCCAAAGGGATCAGCATGGAGCATCCCTAGCTCAGAGGAATTCCTTCGCTGCAAGGAAGTAGCCAGCGCCCTCTCTTGACAGCAGTAGTGGGTGGAATGAGGAGCTCCGGCCGCTGGCTTCAAGCCAGGTAGAGTGAGCATTGATTATAGAGGAGACCCTGTGAGAACAGTGCCCACATGGGTCCCGTCCATTTGTCAGAGAACAGTGGGTCGGTGCACCTTTATTATACCTTTTCAGAGAGCCAGCTCAAACACAGAGTTTGACACGGTTTGAGTTGCATAAACAGGAGGTAATAATAATAAACTAGGATGAGCTGAGCATGGTGGCTCACACCTGAAATCCCAGCACTTTGAGGTGCCAAGGTGGGAGGCCTGCTTGAGCCCAGAAGTTCAAGAGCCCAGAAGTACTAGACCAGCCTGGGCAACATAGTGAAACCTTGTCTCTATGTTAAAAATATATTACAAACAAATAACCAGTTTGTTTCTTTTTTTAAAAATCTAATATCAAAGTTTATTCTATGGATTGAATAAAATCAATTTTTTTTAAAAAATGTAAAGTTGTAGTATTTAAATTTTACCACAGGTCCAAAATCTTGGGGTGATTCTGACTTCACTTGTTTGTATCCCAGAATCTATTGGAAAATCTCACCAGCCTTTTTTCTTTTTTTTTTCCTTCTTTTTTTTTTGCACTCATGGGGTAAACTTTTATTTGTGAAGGAGTTTGAAGCCAGCCTTATACATGGATAACCTTATACTTTGATAGATAAAAGATGAAGGCCCAATGTAGGTGAGAAACTTTAATGGTACATACGTTGCCTCGTGATCAGTTGAAAACAGAACATAGGTTAACTCTTCTTAATGAACATCACAGGTTAAAGAGAACATTGCCAGGAGGCCTTCACTATTCTAGAAGGGCATCATTTGTTAGGTCCTTTTTCCTTTGTTTGGAGTAAAAGGAGAAATGTATCCCTCATGATAGGCACTATAGCAAATTCCATTGTAAAGTCTACAGTTACACAACAAACTTCAAATTCTCTTGTGAAAGTTATGATATAATTGGCTGAAGAGAGAAGTATCTGTGCAGCTGCTGGCACTTATGGCCTTTGGAGAAAACATTGGGTATTACAGAGATTCAGGTATAGTGGATTAATGAAGAAACTGCTTAGTCAAGGAAGCAGACTCTTTATCTAGCTCATTCTTGTATCTATTCGATTTCAGGAGGTTTGGTTTATGTGGATTCTGGGTAAAGAGCACACTTCAAACTCTTGATATAATCTTCCAGATAGTCATAATAATAGACTCCCTAGTGCACTGTCTTCTCTCAGAGGTTTTAAATGCTTGCATGCGGCCATCTCCAGAATGTTAAATGGTTTCTCTTCAGCTGGAATGACAAGAGCTGGCTGAGGCCGGGCGCCAGCGGGAAAGGTCCGCCTACCTCTGATCTGCGCACTGGGGACGGCTGAACCCCAATGCGCTTGGTGTGGTAAAGCGACTCCCGCGATGCCACAGGGTAGGCTGCCATCCTCATCCGCATCATCTGCGTCCTTTTTTCTTCTTTTTTATTGCATTTTAGGTTTTGGGGTACATGTGAAGAACATGCAAGATTGTCGCATAGGTACACACGTGGCAGTGTGATTTGCTGCCTTCCTCCCCTTCACCTATATCTGGCATTTCCCCCCATGCTGTCTCTCCCCACCTCCCCACCCCATACTATCCCTCCCCTATTTCCCCCCAATGGACCCCAGTGTGTGATGCTCCCCTTCCCATGTCCATGTGTTCTCATTGTTCAACACCCGCCTATGAGTGAG